TCCTTCATCACACATCCAAACATCCGCCAGTCCCACCTCTCGTCTTATAGGAGGTGTACAATACTTCATTCTTGCTTAACTGGGTGACAAGGATGGAGCAGAACGGCTCTCATCCCAGCCTCCTACCTGATACATTTTCTACTGCACCTCACTGCCTCCTCCCGGAAGCAGGCTTTGTCCCTCCAGGAAGAGCAGCACCAAGGTCCCCAGGGAGATGAATTCCCATTGTAAAGATGAGACCATTTGAACTTCATCCAAAAAGTTCATAGGGCCCTTCAGTGATTTTTCTTTAGCCCACCCAAACTTTTCCAGGGTTTCGCTGTAAAATCCCTTGAATGATAAAGCTGTCTTTGAAGATCATTTCAAGTTCCTCAAAAATGACCTCACAGATGTCTGGCCTGGGTTATTTGCATAAATTAACTTATCTTCACCCTTAAAATGCACTAGGAACAGAAAAGAAATGGAGGTAGGAAAGCCAAAGAGGAAGAAAGTACCTATATTTGAGCATTTGCCTTCCGCAAAGAGCTCCATGGCGTGTGTAACAAAGCCGTAAGCTCCTGCTGACAGGGCACTTCCAAAAAGAGGACTACAATGACAATGAGTGACAGAAACTAAAGGACAGATAAGGACATAGACTGCAGTTCTGGAGAAGAGATTAAAAAAGACTTTCAGAGTATCTAATGTTATTGATGGAGAGTCAATTCTAAAAGGAAAACCTCAATTGAAGTCTTTGTGAGAATATTCCGGTGATTGTATACTCTTAATATGGAAAGGGCAGTAAAAGTAGACCAAAGGAAGCAACAAAGAACCGTTTCATGACAATGAACTTCAAATCTAGAAAATTTTAAAAACAGTCTTTTACCCGTGAAAGACTCTAAGACACAGACACAAAATATTTTCCTCCCATAGGTGTAACCAAGTCCTGTCACGGCAGACAGAGACACCGCAAAATAAATGTGATATTTATTTTGGGCTTTGTTTTGTTTTTATATTTTGATAAAGGCTGTGGGAAAAGAGAAATTCTGGTGTAGAGTTTAAGCTCATACAACAACCCTCCCCCTATGTGATTCCCCTATTACCTAAGTGCAAACCCTAACTAAGCTTAAAAAGAGACCAAAAAAAAAAAAAAAAAGAAAAAACATTACGCCCATTTCCTTAAAAGTCCTATTTTGGGATTAAAAATTCTTTAAAAAAAAAAAAGACAAGCTTGCATTATTCAGCTGTTCTGTGGTTTGAGTCAAGGTTTTATGGGCATTTTTCAGTCCATCAGCCATCGAAAGTTGGGGAAAAGAAGACAGAGCCATTGTAATTCAGATGCTATTCTGGGGCTACGTACGTGACCCAACACGATGCTCAAAGTCAGTTTGCCCGCCAAGGACTAACACGCGTGCTCCAAAGAAGTCCTTGACTCAGAAGCTAAAGATCAGAAGCTACCGTCTTCTTCCATTCTTACTCATGCAGCTGACTAATGAACCCAGAATCCCCCCTGGCAGAAATATACTCCCACAACGCTGCAGAGAAAGCAAATAAAACTTTCAAGAATCCGGAGACCAGAAACAGCTCCAAATGCCATTCAATTCAGGGATACAACTTTTCCACATTTTTTAATTTCTCTTCTAGGGACAGCACATGGTAGCAGGGCTGAAGAGGGGCTGTGCCATCCAATGTGATGGGCAGCTAGCTACCTAGCCCCGCACTGTGCACGCAGCAGATGATAAAGTCATTTGCTGAGCTGAATCAAGTAATTATAGTGCTGCTTCAGTTCACAAACAATTCCCTCCACAATTCTGGTTGCAAACTGAACCGAATGAGAACTGAATCAAATTTCCCCACAAGGTCAACACTGAACACTGAATTTGATTCGGTTCTGGTCCAACTCAGTTCACAACCAGCATCGTGGACAGAATCAAGTCCGTGAAATGAGGCACCGCTGTCTAAGGTTTGCGTTTTAATCCCAGACCACCTCAAATGTTCACCCTTCTACGCCACATTCTTTGTGAAGGACCCAAGTGCAGCAGCTTCTGTGAAGGTCATCAAGGGACCACGGAAACAGCCTGCAGGTGGGAGAAAAGGCCAAGAGGAGAAAGACTGAAATGGGTTCATGAAGACATCATCCAAGCCACTGGATCAGCCTGCCCTAAAACCACACAAACATCTAGGCAACTAATTTCCTGTACTGTTGAATCCAGTTTGAGTTGAGATTTCTTTCTTGCACTACACAGAATCCTAAACATCATGTTATACATATTCCACGTACATTGTATTATAATAATATGTCTTTTTATCCTATGATGAACCTTTCAGTCCATTCCAAAGGTCACCTTCTCGAAGGGGCAATTAATTTACTTCTCGGTCCCCTCTCTTGCTGCACTTTAACTCCCTCGTTGGGTCCAGCTGTCCCAGTGAGAGCAGGTGACAAGGAGTACTCACTTCCGCAGACTGCTCCAGTGCCCTGTTCCCACCCCTACTGACACAGAACACCAGAAAACAAGTATCCAAACACTCCCACTCCAAGATCTTCCAGAAAGTGATGTCCTCAGCCACAGCAGACAACAGAGATGAGACGTGACATAATTTATTGTTCACACTAACTTTGACCAAAGCACTGGGAGAAACAAGAAATGTGGGTCCACCCAGAAGGGTCTCTCATTTGTTTGTAAATAACACAAAACTTTCCACCCAGGATATTGATGTTTTGTCTACTGCAAAAAAACCCTCCCTGGCTATTGTTGGCCCTTCTTGAAGTAGACCCAGAGAGACCATCGATTGCTCCTCCTCTAATTACTGTTTATTTCACTATTGCGTAGGTTTTCCTCATTAAAATAGTGCCATTGCAATCGGAGGTCTGTGAAGGGTAAATGGATAGTGGGACATGAACACCTGGAGGCTTGTTTAGAAACTAACTTTCAAATCATCAGACTAGAAATGTTCTTTGTTATCCTTTTGCCCCTGGAACTGAAAGGATGTGGAGTACTCTACAGCTCTGTGACTTTCTTTCGACAAAATCTCACTAGAATATGTGTATCAGATGCACCAACCAGGGCATTTATCTTCTGTTTGCTGCAAGAGAGTCTTCCTCGGAGCAACAAATGCATTCCACAAACAGGGCTGCGTCCTGTTCTGCATTGAAGCGAGGAGCTGAGGGTTGTCTTCCTGCTCAGAGGAGACCATGAGGGCAAGGACATTTCTTTTAACGTCTGCAGTGCCTGAAACAGGGCTTCATACGAAGCAGACCAGTAAGTTTCAAACCCGAGTGCACACCAAAATCAGCCAGCAAACTTATTAAAAATACAGACTCCTGAGACCCCAGGGACTATGAGCCTCTGTTTCCCTGGAGTCTGAGAACCTGCATTTCCAACAGGGTGACTCTGACTGGCTCAGACCTTCTGTCCAACATACTGAGGAATTTGAAAGCAGGGCCTCAAGGTTTTAAAAAAATTGATCTTTTGAAATACATAAGCATACAGACTCAGCTCAAGGGGTTTTCCAATGCCACCACCAGTCTGCTCCCTAGTGTGAACCCCTTGAATTCATACTACAGCCCCTAGGAAGCACAGCCTGACCACTCAGCAACCGAGGCTCCCCCAGCAACACAGCACCTTCCCCAAAGCTCTTCCTCTCTCCTCAGTACCTCGCTACCTAGCGTCAAAAAAAAATCTGCGCTCTCTGAGCTCCAAAAGCTCAAAGGCAGCAACCTCAGAACAAAAATTGCAGTATTCAGCACAGACAAAAAATGGAAACTGAGGCTGAGGAACCCTGATAGACTCAGGCCATCAGGAATGCCTCTGTTGCCCTCCCCAGGGTCTTTGGGATACGGCCCAAAAGTCCAATCTCTATTAGGAAGCCAAACAAATAAGAGATATTAGAGAAAATAATGAAGATAGTGGCAGAACAAATAGTAACCCAACAAGCATGAAAATGGGGCATTTGTTTCTTTAATAAAATGTTAACGCCAGGCATGATGGCATTCATCTGTAATCCCAACACTCTGGGAGGCTGAGGCAGGAGGATTGCAAGTTCAAGCCCAAGCTGGGCAACTTAGTGACTTAGTGAGGAACCCTGTCTCAACAACAACAACAAAAATTTAAAGGGCTGGGGATGTAGCTCCATGTGGAGGCCCTGGGTTCAATCCCTGGTACTGAAAAAAAAAAAGTTAAGCACTGGCACTGCCTCAGGCTATTCACTGGTTCTTCTCTTTAAGACCAATTCCGGTTGGTCTGGCTGGACTGTAAGTCCCTTGAGGGCAGGGGACGTGTCCCATTTCTACTATTTATGTCAAAGCTGGGCATAAGAGAGGTGACTCCAAGACTCTGTCAGAGAACATGGCAGGGAGGAGTGTTGCTTTAAAGATAGGGAAAACAGCGTTCAAAGACTGCCTCCTGTGTACACCCCTGCAGGCTTCGGACAAAGCAAACCAGTGTCAGCATCATTACTTTGGGGGACCAGTTGCTCAACTTTCACTGAAAGGCAAAGGCGGAGGGAGCTTGAGGCGAGGAGGGCCTGGCTGTCAAGACCTTAGGGTTTCTTCACACCTTGCTGACCCTTTATAAGGCCACAGGTCTACAAAAGGAGAAGGGAAACTTCAGCTCACACAGTGGCAGTTGCTTCCCCTTTTGGGGATAGCGCCTCGTCCTTCAGAACTAAACTCTGTCCTCCAACAGGATTTCCTTGACCCGACTATGCTCGCACTAGCCCTGGCCACAGTGCTGTGCCTTCCTGTGAGGTTGTGTGGTCTTCCCTAGGGCAAGCTCCCCGAACACGGGGTCGGCGGGTATCCTGGCCTTGCCCGTAATCCCAGGGACAGCACAGCGCCTGGCACACACAGGCACTCGGTCAGCGTGTTCAAGGAAAGCAGGGACTTTGCTAAGCCTCGATTGTCTCAAAAGTGAAATAATGTTTCACTTACAGGGCTGCTAGACAATGGAAGATGATATATGTAGCATGGCCTCATTCAATAAAGTATAGGGGCTCTCATGGAGGTTGTTAATATTGAACTATTTATTACCCCAAAGCCCACAGTGAGCTCAGAGGGAAAGGAGGAGGCTTCAGGCCTCAATATGGGGGCCTCGGGGTCAGAAGCAGTGGTTCCTTTGAGGCTTTCTGAGACTCCGTCTTCCAGAACCAATCCCCAAAACCAAGTTTTACTTCTTACTTCCAAGAAAAGCACTCCGGACTCTGGGAAGAAGGAATGTTCATTCTCTGGTCCAAGTAGCTCGGTGTTTTCCCCCCACCTCAGTGAGCCATTACCTGAAACCAAAGGTCTGCAAGGAGGGAATGCAGGGAAAAGCCGTCCCCACAGGCGAGGAGGGAGGCCAGCTGATCTACAAGGCAAGCCTCTAAAGAAGCTAAACACACACGGAGGGCACAGCAGCCAGGGCCAGGCCCAGGGCGCCTTTCACTGCTGGGAAGCAACCGAGATGAATCAACACAGACGGGCAGCGAGAAGGGGGCGAAAGGCAACTTCCCTGTGTTCTGAGAAGGACTCACAGGCGTCCCGCCACTTGCCAGCTGAGCGTCTGTGTCCTGGGCCTGACTCCTGCGACGCTGCGGTGCAGTTAGGAACTCCTCCCTGGGGGAGAGGCACGGGGAGCAAGGTTCAAGAATTCCCATGCATCACGCTCATTGATCGATACGTTTTTCACACACTTTCAAATTATGTAAGAAGCATATGATCATTGTAGAAAATGTGAGAAGTATAAAATGCACAAAGAGGCAAGAGAAAATACTCATAACCCCACCATCACATTTCTCTCGAGGTTTTTTAATTTTTTTTTATGTTATATCAGACTATCGGATAGACACGATGGGAGGCTGAGGCAGAAGGACTGCTTGAGGTTAGGAATTTGAAGCCAGCCTGGTAAACTAAGCAAGATCCCATCTCATAAAAATAAAAATTGTATCTAGCTATCTGATTTCTAAAGAATATACAACTATATAATAAGCACGACTATATAACGAACTAAAAATTATATACATAATTCTCCACAACTGGTTGCAAAATATAAATCTCCAGCCCTTCTTTCTCCTGTCTCTCTGAAGCATTTCTCTGCGCTGATAGTCTTGATGTTTTTCTCCATGTTTTCCTCTCTAACTTGTGGCCCCTTCTCCCACAGTGCAGATCCTTCTTCTCTCCTGCCTGTATTTCTCCAGTATAGCCATATGTTACCTCGGGCTAGACCATGTTGTTTACATTGTTAGTGACAGTCTTCACACTATAACAAAGATGTATTAAAAAAAAGTGGGGGAGGAGAAAAATTCTCCCCCCACAGGAGTTAACATTCTCTACCAATAAAGCAATACCTAATTCCTGGCCAACCTTCTCAGCCTCCTCAGGAGATGCCCAGGTGCATTGGGAGTTCTGGCACATCTAGTATCCTGAGGAAGCCCCTCCAGAGTTTTCTCTTCTGCATGCTCTAGGCTGGTTGCCTTCCTGGCCTGGGCACAGCTGCCATCCTAGGATCATCCCTGCCATGTCCCTGGAGACAACCTTTTCTGCCCCCTTCAGGCATATTCTTCCCTCTCATTTAAGCTTTTGCTTATATGACACACATCCTCTAATAGCTCCCTCAGATGGTAAAATTTTTAAGATATTTCATACCTGAAAGTTTCTTCATCTTCCTCCCACTCTTAACTGTCTAATGACAGACTTCCTGGCTAAGTATATCCCCCTTAGGATGTTCCATTGTTCCTTGGCTTCCAGTGTTGCTGTTTGGAAGTCTGAAGCCCCTGAGTTCTAATATTTTTATGTGTGACATATATTTCCATTTCCTAATACACTGAAATTTCACAGTCATGTGTGGTGGTAGGAGTCTATTTTTATGGTGGGCATTTGGTATGTTCGTTATTTTAACCTGAAACTGTCCTTCAGTTCTGGGAAATATTCTTGAAACACTGTCATAACACTTAGCAACAGGGGTACATTCTGAGAAATGCACCATTAGGCAATTTTGTTGTGCAAACATCATAAAGTATACTTACATAAACTATGATAGCTATGATGCCACTGGGTGATAAACCGTACAGGAGCACTGTCACGTGTGGTCCACTCTTGCCAAAATATCATAATGTGGTGCATGGCTATAATTCATTTATTATTTCTTTTTTTTTTTCTCTAGAACCAATTATATGGCTGTTGGACCTCTTAAACTATTCATTTAACTTTTTCTCTCTCCTGTTTTTATATCTTTGCCTTCTCTTACTCTACTTCCTAGAAAAATTGCCTTCTGTAGACTTTTTCATTTCTGCTTCACATATTTAATTTTAAGAGATCTTTTCTTATTCTCTGAATATTGTTTTTATGATATTCTAGCTTGTTTTAGGACTACATTATCTCCTTTTACCTAAGTACATTAACATCTTTACTTCTCTGTTTTCTTCTCCCAGTATAGGCCCACTGCCTACAACTGTCTTTCATTCTTGTTTGTATTGATCTCTATCCCCCATGTTAGAGGTTTATCAGGCAATCCTTTGATCTCTGTGAGTATTTAGAAAGGAGAACAAAAACTTAGCTGGAATATCTGAAAATGACAAGAGCTTGTCAAGTGGACCTGCACCAAAGGGTAGCTGTGCCTGGTCATTTAAATGAGAGACTTTCAGGGAAGCACTCAGCTCTCTTCTTGGGCTGGTCAGTGTCTCCCCATCATTTGCTTCAAGCATTAAGGCTACACTTCCAAGTTGATGGAAATGCACTATGGACATGTCCAACTAATACGCACATTCAGTAACTATGCTCAGTTTCCTGCTGCCTACAGTGAGCCCTAGCCCCACCAGTGGCTGGGGCTCCCAGGTGCAGACAGAGGTCCTCTGGTGTACTCTTGCCACAGAACAAGCCCCTAGAGTGGAATAACAGCAGTCATCAAGCTATGTGGAGTGAGAGAGGGCAGCTGGGTCTTAAAACTTCCAGAGCTACTCACACCACCACTTCCTCAGATTGGAGGGAATTATGCATCTAAATCAGCCTGGCTTTCAATTTTCCCTCCTACTGACTCAATATTCAATGTACTACATCTACTTTCCAGCTTGTAAAAATCTACTGCTCACCCAGAAAGATATTCAGCATCACTTGTCATTAAGGAAATGCAAATCAAAACCACACAAGACACCACTTCACATCCACCAAGATGGTTATACTTTTTTATTAGTATATTTTTCTCTATTTTTTATAAGATCTACATTTGTGATACATAATACTTGCATTCATCTTGGGGAACTGGTACAAGTACATATGGCTTCTTGATCATTTTTACTGTCTCTCTCCTTCCCTCTCCCTCCTTACCCAGATTCCCTTCTCATCACCACGAAGTCTACCATCTCCCTGTTATTTTTTCCCCTAAAATTACTTATATTTTAGATTTCTCATATAAAAGAATAGAATGGTCATGCTTTGTTTAAAAAAAAAATTAATGGAAAACAAAAAAGGTGAGCAAAGATGTGGAGAAACTGGAACCTTCATACATCACCAGTAGGAATGCAAATGGTGCAGCCATTGTGGGAAACGAGTTGGCAGTTCTTCAATAAACAGAATTACCTATGACCCATTAGTTCTTCTCCTAGTTATGCATCAAAAACAGTACAAACAGATGTTCAAACAAAAAATTGATCATTCACAGTAGCTTTATTATGATAGCCAAAATGTGAAGACAACTCAGATATTATCTGATAAATGGATAAACAAAATGTGGCACAGGGCTGGGGATTTAGCTCAGCGGCAAAGCGCCTGCCTGGCAAGCACAAGGTCATGAGTTTGGTTCCTGGTACCGGAGAAAAACCAAAAAAAAAAAAAACAAAAACAAAATGTGGCACATCGGGGAGAGGGTGTGCTCGGTGGTACAGCACTTGCCTACTACTTTTAAGGTCCTGGGTTCAATCCCAGCATTGTCAAAAAACTAAAAAAAAAAAGAACATGCTACATCCTTACAACCAAATATTATTCAGTTACAAAATGGCACAAAGTCTTGAATATGCTACAGTGTGGGTGAATCTTAAAAACATTATTATGAGTGAAAGGGGCAGACACAAAAGGCCACAGATTGTATGTTTTCACATATGTGACATATCCAGAATAGAATAATTCATGGAGACAGAAAGCATATTATGCCAGGCGTGGTCCAGCACGCCTGTAATCCCAGTACTCAGGAGACTGAGGCAGGAGGATCATTGTGAGTTCGAGGCCAGCCTGGGCTACAAAGTGAGCTCAAGTCCAGTCTGAACTGCATAGTGAGACCCTGTCTCAAAAGGACAAAAAAAAAAAAGAAAGGAAGCATATTAGTGGTTATGAGGGGCTGGAGAGGGAGAAGAATGGGCAGTGACTGAGACTTCTCAGTCTCATGGGACTTCCTTCTGCGATCATGAAAATGTTCTGGAGCCAACAGAGGTGGTGGTTGGACAATATTTTAAATGCCACTGAATTGTACGCAATAATTAAAACAGTAAATTTTGCATTATGTATATTTTTACCACAATTTAAAAGGATATGTTGCTAGTGCTTCCATTCTTATAATACCTGTCACGTGAGTTTGTGCTTCTGTTATTCTTTTTGCTGTTTTACGGGGTTTCAAAGGAAAACAGAGATTCATAGGTTCCATCTGCCACTCTTACCCAGAGTCCAGCCACAAACTGGTTAAAGTAGGAAGTCAAATATTGATCAGGAGTGATGGAAAATACAAAGGATTATAAGGTAGAATCCTATCATCAAAGAGTTTATAATCAAGTTGAGATTTAAAAAAAAATAATGAAGGAGAAGCACACTATGCAAGAAATACTTGTGGTCAAAAATGGTTCAGAGGGCTGGGGATTTAGCTCAGCAGCACAGCGCCTGCCTGGCAAGTACAAGGTCGTGAGTTCGATTCCCGGTACCAGAAAAGAAAAACCCAAAAAAAAACAAAAATGGTTCAGAAAGCATGTGACATGGAGACCAAAAAGAAGAGCCACAGCCATGAATATTGTAAAAGGCTTTGAAATAAAGAGAGAATCGGAGCTGGATAAGAAATATCCTAAAAGGGAATGTTATTCTAGCAAGTCGGGTCAGGAAGGAGATAAACACAGGAAAACACAAATATATTTAGTGTATGATCAGGAGGCCAGGTGGGACAGTGTGTAATAAACTGTATTATGAGAGGGGGCGGCAGAGAGTGGTCTGGGGTCAGAGAGGCTAGAGCTGATTTCTTTAAAAAAAAAAAAAAAAAGCCTCCAGATACAATTATAAGGATTGATCAAAAACTACAGTGTGTGTTTAAATGTTACAAATATTTTTTAAACAGGTACATGGCCATTAATCCCCCTCAAAATACTCCTCCTTGCTTCAAGCATTTATCCCACACTTAACACTTTCTGAAGCAGTTCTGCAAGTTCTCTTTCATGACGGTCTTAACAAGCTGTGATTAAAACTGATGAGTGCTGTTCCAAGTGCCACCCAGTAGGCCAGTGACACGATGGTGGTAAACCAGGCCTGGAGGCGTACACCTGTAATCTCAGCACTCAGGGAGCTGAGACAGGAGGATCATCTTGAATTCAA